GAACTTACGGGAGAAATGAAAGTTAATATGGGCGAGAATATTTAACCTAAGAAATGTCCAAAATCGACATACTTCCACAAGTGAAATATACGTGTGTAGATTTGGGGGAGGGCTAAAAGTAGCTTTTTTAAAAAGTTAAGAAAGCATTTTTTGGGATCCCCGCACGTAAAACGCGAGTGTGACTCATCTATAAACGCGCAAGAACTTACGAAAGAAAAGAAAGTTGATAGTGGCGAGAATCTCTCACCCAAGCACTGTCCAAATCGATCAACTTCGATTCCACAAGTTAAATACACGTCTGTAGACTTGCGGGAGGGCTAAAAGTAGCATCTTTAAAAAGTTATGTAACCATTGTTTGGGATACCGGCACCTAAGACGCAAGTATGGCGCTCTCTAAATGCGCAAAACTTACGAGAGGAAAGAAAGTTGATATGGGCAAGAATTTCCAGACCAAACACTGTGCCAATCGACAGCTTTCCATAAATGAAATACACGCGTGTAGATTTGGGAGAGGGCTGAAAGTAGCATCTTTAAAAAGTTAGGTAAGTATAGGATGGGATCCCTGCATCTAAAGCGCGAGTGTGGTGCATCTTTAAACTCGCGAGAACACGCAGGAAAAAAAGAAAATTGACATGGGAAAGACTATCTAATCCAAGCACTATCCAAATCAATAGACTTCCAAAAGTGATATACACTTGTGTATATTTGGGGGAGGGCCAAAACTTGCATTTTTAAAAGGCCTTGTGAGCATACTTTAAGATCCCCACACCAAAAACGTGAGTGTGCCGCATCGCTAAACGCGCGAAAACACGCGAGTGAAAAAGCAATATATATGGGCGAAAATCTTTAACCCAAGCATTGCCCAAAGCGACAGACTTCCACGAGTAAAATACACGTGTTTAGATTTGGGGGAGGGTTGAAAGTAGCACCTTTAAAAAGTTAAGAAAGGATTGAATAAGATCCCCGCACCTAAAACGCGAGTGTGGAGCATCTCTAAACGGGCAAGAACCTACGAGAAAAAAGAAAGTTGATATAGGCAAGAATCTCTGACCCAAGCACTGTCCAAATTCATAGAATTCCACAAGTGAAATACACGTGAGTAGATTTGGAGGAAGGCTAAAAGTGGCACCTTTACAAAATTAGGTAAACATTGGTTGGCATCCCCGCACCTAAAACGCGAGTGTGGCGGATCTCTAAACGAGAGAGAACTTACGAGAGAAAAGAAAGTTGATAGTGGCGAGAATCTTTCACCCAAGCACTGTCCAAATCAATAGACTTCCACAAGTCAAATACACGTGTGTAGATTTAGGGTAGGGCTAAAAGTAGCATCTTTAAAAAGTTAGGTAAGCATTAGTTGGGATCCCTGCACCTAAAACGCGAGCGTGGCGCATCGCTAAACACGCGAGAACTTACGGGAGAAATGAAAGTTAATATGGGCGAGAATATTCAACCTAAGAACTGTCAAAATGGATAGACTTTTACAAGTTAAATACACGATTGTAGATTTGGGGGAGCGCTAAAAGTAGCATTTTTACAGAGTTGGGTAAGCAATGGTTGGGATCCACGCATCTGGAACGGGAGTGTGATGCATCTCTGAATACGCGAGAACACGCGGGACAAAAGAAATTTGACACGGGAAAGAATATCTAACCCATGCCACGCACTGTCCTAATCGATAGACTTACACAAGTGAAATACACTTATGAAGATTTGGGGGAGGGTTTAACTAGCATTTTTAAAGAGCCCCGTAAGCATAGTTTGGGATCCCCACACAAAAAACGCGAGTGTGCCGCATCGCTAAACGCGCGAAAACACGCGAGTGAAAAAAAAGATATAAATGGGCGAGAATTTTTAACCCAAGCATTGTCCAAAGCGACAGACTTCCACGACAGACTTTCACTTGTGTAAGTCTATCGATTAGGACAGTGCGTGGCATGTAAGTTAATATGGGGGAGAATATTCTATCTAAGCACTGTCAAAAAAGATAGACTTCCACAAGTGAAAAACACGTTTGTAGATTTGGGGCTAAAAGTAGCTTCTTTAAAAAAGTAAGGTAAGCATTGGTTGGGATCCCCGCACCTAAAACGCGAGTGTGGCGCATCTCTACACGCGCAAGAACTTACGGGAGAAATGGAAGTTAATATGGGCGAGAATATTAAGTCCAAGCACTGTGCAAATCGATAGACTTCCACAAGTAAAATACCCGTGTGTAGATTTGGGGGAAGGCTAAAAGTAACGCCTTTAAAAAAATTGGGAAAGCATTGGTTGGGATCCCCGCACCTAAAACGCAATTTTGGCGATTCTTTAAACGCGCGAGAACTTAGGAGAGAAAGAAAGTTGATTGTGGCGAGAATCTCTCACCCAAGCACTCTCCACATCGATAGACTTCCACAAGTGAAATACACATGTGTAGATTTAGGGGAGGGCTAAAAGTAGCATCTTTAAAGTGCTAGGCAAGCATTGGTTGAGATCCCCGCACCTAAAAGGCGAGTGTGGCGCATCTCTAAACGCGCGAGAACTTACCAGAGAAAAGAAAGTGTTTATGGGCGAGAATCTCGCGAGAACTTAGGAGAGAAAGAAAGTTGATTGTGGCAAGAATCTCTCACCATAGCACTCTCCATATCGATAGACTTCCACAAGTGAAATACACATGTGTAGATTTAGGGGAGGGCTAAAAGTAGCATCTTTAAAAAGTTAGGTAAGCATTGGTTGGGATCCCCGCACTTTAAACGCGAGTGAAGGGATAAAAGTAGCAGCTTTAAAAAGTTGAAATACTCAAGTGAAATACACGTGTGTAGATTTGGGGGAGGGCTAAAAGCAGCATCTTTAAAAGGTTAGGTAAGCATTGGTTGGGATCCCTGCGCCTAAAACGCGACTGTGGCGCATCTCTAAACGCGCGAGAACTTATTAGAGAAACGAAAGTTGATATGGGCGAGAATCTTTCACCCCATGAGGGGACGCAAATGACTTATACTGTAATTATTTCTTCCTGGTGTTTATTTTTTTCATAATTCTATAAGAACAGGGCTGTGTTCCTGTAAGGCTGTGGGTGTAATTCGTAAAAATACTGAGTTCTTATAAATCTTTTAGAAATTCTTCAATCCAGTTCAAATTTATGTTGCTGGCACATGGGTGGGCACTTCATATGTAGACCGTGATGTAAGATACCTTAAACTATTTTTACTGTTCATGATGCACTGCTACGTTAGTCCGCTTTATAAATATTTAACTGCTCTGGTCGAGTTTTTAATTTCAATTTGATTAAACGTTCTTTTTATGCGTTCCTGTTAAAAATGATGCAAAGTTGTCAATTTTAGTAATTTCAATTTGAAGACAAGGTCCGGTTAGTACCTTCTTGTTACTTGATGAAAATTTTTTCGGGGTTTGTTTTACCAGGGCGCTTCATGACGCCTCCTGGAATTAGCTATACCTTCCCTAGTTGAATCGTCATCAGTTTATTGTACGTTATTAGGTTATTGATTGGAAAAATACTTTTGAACCTTAGTTCCTCTTTTTTCAGGGGATGAGGGCGGGCTCACTTCTTTCGGAGGTCGTTGTATACGGACTTTTACGATTTGTTGCATGTACGAGCCATTGGCCAAGCGATTGGCCAAGCCACTGGTAGCCGTGCATGGTCTACTAAAGCACTGACAACTTATCTTCGCTTCATGTACTAAGTTTCTCCTCGCGCTTTGTTTGTTTGTTTGTTTTTTTTTTGCCCTCGGCTGTGTAATTGTGCGATTTTTTCTACACAATAACTTCAATTGCCGGGCGTGATAATACTGCACTTTGCTCCAACTGCCAACTACATACTCAGACAAGTATTCCAAATCATCTGGGCTTTTATTCCTTAAGATCTGTGTTAGATTGATTAATTAAACGCTCCTTTACGCCCGGACAAGCATCTCGATGCAAGCTCAGAGTTTATTGTGATGACTTTCATTGGGTAAACAAGACATTTACGTCTGCTCGCCACGCTCAACATCCATTCTTAGGCACTTTGTTATCTTTAAGTTCAGTTTGTAGATCTGATCTTGGTTCAGGGGGAGAAGCAGAGGAAGGTTCATGTTGTGTGATTCGTTCATTATTGGGGGATTACTTGATTTATCGGCATTCCCCGGTTTGGTCCGCTCACCTTCTTTTTCCTGCCCAAGTCTTTCTTCACGTGTGTTTAGACGTGATCCGATATATAATGACCTTGTTTTGTTCCAGATTATTGGCGTCGGTGAAGTCCGCCATCATTTAAAAGCATCGGGAATGACTCGAACACACTATTTACTTTTAGAACACTATTAATATCGTCACTTCATTATAAAGCCTGTCTCATATTCCATCGGTCATTTGTGTGTTTTTTTTTTTTTATTTGATATCATCGACATGTCACTGAAACAGACTATGACGCCTTCCCTGGCCGCAAGACGAAGAACCCTAGTGAGAGTATATAAGGAATGCTAGGAAAATTTTCTACCATTTCTCTGCGGTACTTCCAGTAGAAGTTCCGTGCGTCCCGTCATGCACCATGGAAATCCACTGTCTCAAAATATATTTCAATAGTACTTTAAACAGTCTAAAGTCTAAAGATTAAAGTGGATCATCTGTGAAAAAAATTGTCAAATGCGATATAAATATATAAAAATAACTTTAAAATAAACTAGAAATGGCATACAGTAATTATAGCATAAAACGGCATAGAAATAGGGGTTGAAACGACTCTATAATATACTAGTAGTTATCAAAGATTATGAGTGCGTTCGACGCCGCCACTTTAATACATACACGTTATGATTTTATTAGCTGACCTTCAACCTCTGTCTATTGCTAAAATCAACATTTTTCTTCGTCAACAAACCAAAGTTTTACAGATAGGTATATGCAATCAGTTAGAACGACTGTATAATATATAATTTAGACAATAGTTTTATTGCACCCAAACTTTTGATTCATAGGGTACAGAAGCTTTTTTTCCGTTTGTGAACTAAAGCTGATATTTTCTCCTGCAGGATTTCAATAAATTATCTCCTTGTGAACCTAGCTGTGGCAGACATAACCTTCGCGATATTTCTTGCACCAAAGTTCATTCTAAGCCGTACTTTCACCCACCCAGACGGGGAGGCGGGTAAAGCTTTATGCAGATTGTTAACAGGTGGAACACTGGGCTGGTTTGGAGGAGTTTCCTCGGCGTTTACGCTGGTGGCTGTTGCTGTTGAACGCTTCTACGCTGTGATGCATCCCCATGGAAACAAAGGAAGACTTACCAAGCGCAAGCTAAAGGTAACTTATGATGCGCGAGGATGCACTTTCTTTCATCTTACACATAGCCTTAATCCACCGTCATGTTTAAATTGTTACTTCTTTATCGTTTATGCTGCTGGTAAACAGAGGAATGAAACTGGCAGGTAAATTTGAGGCGTTTTCCATTTACAAAAATCAAACCTGGAGGCTAGGGACTGTTTAACACCTGGTTGTTCTGCTTATTTCGTTCATTTTCCACATCACGATTTTAGGTGATCATACCTGGTTCTTGGATCTTTTCACTTATGTTCACCTTCCCTGGATTCCTGGTAACGAATTTTGACAAGAGAATCCAAAGCTGTGGGGAGACCTTTCCTGGTGAGTGGATGGCCCAGGCTTATAGCTTGATATGGCTTTTAGCCACGACTGCTCTTCCTTTGGCACTGATGGTTGGCTTGTACTCCATGGTCGTGTACACTTTGTGGTTCAAACGTAATGACGACAATGAACCTACCCACCAACAAAAGGTAAGAGTCAACTTATTTAAAGATTTTTAAACTGACAGCGTTTTAGATAATACCTTGTGTCACCATTTGAAATTGAATCCTGCACAATAATGCAAATGGTATGGGACTGATTTATCAGGTTTGACCACATTTTCCAAGAGCTAAGTTGAAATAACGACGCGTAGCGGACTTTATTATATAGACAAGAGTGTTTTACTGGAAAATACACCATGCACTCGTAAAATTCATACAAAACCACATCCGGGACTCGGCTGGCGTATTTTCCATATCCTTTCTAGTGAAGCTATCGATTACTTCACTGATATCACGTTAGACCCTTAAACTGTAATTAAATTTGTTGGTGCATGATCGAAACATCTTTCGATTTTCCTCGAAAGTCTTCGGCAATTTTTTTCAGAAATCTTTCGCAAAATTTCGGAGATTGTTTGGAATCGACGGTTCGTGTGGTCTTCGACCAAGTTTTGGAGAATCTTCGGAAATCTTCGGAAAGTGGTCGGAATTCTTTGGAAAATCGTCCAATATGTCTTTATCGCTAGGGAGAGGACGTAAAAATCGTAAAAAGCGTAAAAAATCTATGTCAATTAATTTCAGATATCCGAATAATGTCCCGACCATGATTTCCTTTGTTTAAACATGATGAATTATCTAAATTAGCTTGAAAAGCCGTGTGGAAGGGTTACATTTGATGATGTGTTTTAAACATTGTCGATCTTTATGACCTTTTAAATCGAAATATGCATTTCTATTCACAGGGTGTTATGAAGGTACGGAAGAGAGTCACCTTGATGGTCATAACTGTCAGCTCAATCTTTGGAATCTCGTGGGGGACGAGTTCAGTTTCCTACGCTTTAAAGCATTTTACCTCCCATAGTAGTGTTTACGTGGTCATTACCAACACAATGGCTCTGTTCAATTCTGCAGTAAACCCCTTTGTTTATGCTTTGTTCAACCAACAATTTCGGGAGAAAGTTAAGAGGATGATGCGCTGTACCTTTCGTTTTGCAAGCAGGATTGGTGCCACAAGGGAAACTGAGAATGCTGAGGGCCCCAAAACTATCAACCATACAACAAACCCTAAAGTCGCATTTTCTTAGAAGTAAGGATTGTAAAGGTTATCTTGGTGCTGCTACACGTAAATTTGATATTCTGTGCATGAAAAGTGAGATCGCGGTGCTAGTTCAACGCTGCGCGTATTTGTACTCGGCATTCTTTTTGGCGTACATCTCTTTGGAAGTGCGAAAGGCACAGTGGCCTCATGGTTATTGTGCTCGAATTTGGTCCAGGTACGAGCCCTGGCCGGGGACACTGTGCTGTCTTCTTGGGCAAGACACTTTACTGTTACAGCTACCCTCTCCACTCATGTGCATAGTGGTCGGTACCGGCGAATCTAGTGCTGGGCGGCAACCCAGCGATGGACAGTAGGAGCCAGTAGAAATACTCTCAGTTGCTTTAGACTACAGAAACCGGAAATAAGCATCGGTGTGATGGGCCAGGTGGCTCGTAAGCAGACTTTATACCTTATTATCGGGACAAGATGTCAATTTCAACAATGACAGGGCTCATATTTAGATACCCACAAACAATACTGAGCGCAGAAAATCACTTGACATAATGTCGGAAAAAAAGAAAATACGATGTAGAGTAATACGGGTTTACAACAGGGGAGCTATAGGCTTACATTCAGGGGAGGACTTTGCAAATAGATCAAAGGATCTTGCGCTGATAATTGCAACGACAGTATAGTTTGCAAGAAGCCTGTGGTAAACTCTCTGTGGCATGAACTCGGCTCGTTCAGCTTACATCTTTAGATCTTCTTGATTTGTATCTGGGCTTTTGTGAATAAATAAAATCCAGCTTATTTAGGAAAAAGGAGGTCGATATCCAATTAAATCATGTGGGGAAAGATAGAAATTTGTGAGCACCGTATATCGTGAAAGGGACACCTCGTGAGCTAATTTAAAAAGAATATGTCCCTCACTCGCGTGCGTCTGGAGAAACCGCATGGAGACCTAATCACACACTTAGCAAACTCCGCCTTCGAACAGAACGTCTCAGTGAAAGCCGTTTTTGCTATAGACACCACCTGTACTGGTAACACGTTGGCCTACTATTCTGGGGCATGTCAAGCGTGGAATGACCAATAATAGCTACTTCAAAGGATGTTGGACAGGCCACCAACAGATCCTGCAGTCGTCCTAGAGGCCCTGACCGAACTGGACGTCAACACTTGAAAACCCAAGAAGGAGGAAATAGCAAAAGCAATTCGAAACTACAGAATGAAAAAAAACAAGGCCCGATGGAGATCCTAAGGGCATATACAAACTCCTCGACTCAGATGCTGTATGAAATCTTCGATAGAGTCTGGGAAGAGGAAACCATTCTTTATGATTGGAAGGAAGGATATGTGATAACAATTCCCAAAAAGGGAGACACCAAACAGTAATGACTTTAGGGGATTGACCATTTTATAAGTGCCACGGAAAATTCTCGGCGAATTATCCTGCAAAGGTTAATTGTTGCACTTCGTGGAATCTTTAGGGACCAGTAAATGGGTGTCAGATAGAACAGGTCTTGTAGTGACAATATATCGCAACCCTAAGAATTATTCCAGAGCAGTCGCTGGAATGAAACTCGCGGTCACTCTATAGCACACGTTCATGCACTTCGGAAAGGCCTTTGACAGCGTCGATCAACACGTACTCTGGATGATCCTCCACCACTATGGAATACTAAAGAAATCCATCTCTATCATACAGAACACCTACTATAATTCTCAGATCAGATTAATACTAATCGATTTTTTTTCGTGAAGATTGAAGCTTAACAGAACTATATCGTATCATCCATGTTGTTTCTCCTGGTTATCGATTGGATAATGAAGCTTAAGACTACAACTTAATAATCAAGTGGACCCTCCTCAACCAACTGCATGATCTGGATTTAGCTGATAATATTGATATGTTTTTACTTGCATTTTTACGTACATATTCACCTCAGTCACTTTTTGTTTTAACTAAATCGACTCATCATACACCAGTACGTTAGTCAGAGAATCGTTAGTCGCAAAATTAAACACGCAAAATAAGGTTACTTAATGAGTAATTATTTTGCACCACCAATTTATGGATGCGGTGGTTCGCTTTGTCAATAATTGTGAATTCTCAAGGTAAAATTATGGGGAATTTTTCGCTATTCTGCGTGCCCGATTTTGCTGCTAACGATTTACCGGGTACCGTGGTACATGGTCTACATAGTGTAGCAGAAAGCAACAGGGGTGAATATGTATGTTACCCAGCTCTCCCAGAAATATCACTGTTGAAAAAGCGCGAACGATATACATGTAATTTAAAAGTAAAGGGGCAAGGTGGGTTGTGGAACTTTTATGAACGGCGATAGTTTTCTTTCTTTGATTTGTCCAGGTCTGCCTCCATGCTCAATTACTCAACGCCACCAACCTCCATTCTCCAATTTCGTCCAAAACATGTTTAATTGAGCTTACAATGCGAAACACCTTACCTGCAGGAGCAATCATTTCGGATTCAATAGCAATGGACGCTATCTTCGATTCACTTACTTTTCAGAACGTCAGATGGTAGTCGACATCTGGTACACGCAATTCACATTTGCAGGATCGTCTGAACTTGGACCAGAAAACAAAGTCGAGAACTTAATTACACAACTAACGCCACGACAGTTATGCGAACTGGCCTGCAAAACTCACATTGGTCCCTTTGCAAGCAAAGTCTAGAAACTTTATTAGAAAGAGAAGTCTGGTAACTCTGTTAGAGAAAAATCTGGAGAGCGTAGTGCAATTGACCAAAGAGTCTTAGTTGTGGCTTTCTTTTTTACACTGCTTACGTTTCGCAACTGGCGGAAGACTATTTGAACTCTCCAAGGAAAAATTATATAAACGATAGTCTCCATTTGGCGCGAAAATATACTCGGATATTTTTCCGCGGACATTTTCTGTTCCAAGAAGCGAACGGTTTTCCGAGAGCGTAGCTCATGGGAAAATGCGAGCTTTGAGGAACAGATAATGTCCACGGACAAATAAACGAGCATATTTTTGCGCCAAATTGAAGCTATTTTGTTTCTTATCCTTTAAATATCTTTCGCAGCAAGCACAGTTTCAGTGAAAATTGAGGAATATCTTCGGATATTCCCCAATTTTAGCTGGGGAATATTCGGTCACGTGACGCGTTTAAACCAATCGCGCACGAGCCAAAATATTTGAAGGATTATAAGTCACAGTATAATTTTTATTCAGAGCGCGAGCCATATTAGGGGATGTGAAACGAATGGTTATGAAACAGATCGAACAGTATCCACCAGAATTGCAAGCACACGGGTGAGAACTATGAAGGTTAAATTATTTTGTTTATGCAGCAACTTTTGGCCAGCCGAGATTCCGTCAAATGCTCGCACTTTTTTACCGTTGCCCGGTCTTACACCAGGATTTCAAAAAATTACCGCGCTAGGACCGTTATTTTTAAAGTAGAGTTTAGCTGTTTACATGAAATGGTTGCGCTCGAATATTTACGCCAAACATGATGGTGCAGACCTTATCGATTGTTTATTCGAACGTCATGTTTTAAAGTTTATCTATCTTGAAGTCAGTTTCGGCTGTGCATGGGTCTTCCACGAATATTAAAACTGCCAATATGGAGCGAATTACATGTGCTACAGTTGTCACCCTAAAAAAATATTACAGACGAAAGGAAAAACAGTTTTCAGCTTTATGCATTTATGCATGTACTTTAATTAATTGTGCTCGATGTTGATCAAAATAATTTGCAAACCTCCGGCCTTACAATGTATCAAAAGTAGCGTCTATTTCGGTTTATCGGCAAGTGTTTGCAAAGAGTTAATGATGTTGTCAAGAAAGGGAATGTAATCCTATGAAAAACACTTTTAATTCACCATCTTTATTAACTTATCACTACTCACGATGAATTCGATAGCGTTGATCCTAGCAGTATGCAGGACACCTATCATATATGAACTCAGTTAA